TTCTTACCTGGTTTAAGCTCCTCATATACGTATGTATGTAGGGAACTCAGGGCTTTTACATACCTTGCTTTATTTTAATTGATTTTTGCATTCCTTCTTAGTTATTCCGCTTTCTTCGGGTTTGCCATCCCCGACCTTTACGGGCATGAATTCAATTCCCGATTTTTTCTAGGTTTTGTTTTTTTCTTAGCACATGGTTTTTTTATTTGCATAATTTGGTTCAACACAATAGTTTTTTTTGAATTTTTTTTTGCATTGCATTCAGCATGTACTACATATATACCTATGCTCACATGTATGCCATAGCCAGACGGACATTCGAATTTATACTTTTGGTTTCTTTTCCGTTCGCTATTGGCAGTATATGTATGCATAGATATACATATCTGTGTTCGTATGGAATAGTAGCTTATGTCGGAAAGCTTGCTTTAGTATACTGCGGCATACTGTTTATTCTTTAAACGACAAGGAATTTTTTGATGAGATTAATTAAGAATATTGACTTGCTAGTATCGGAAATATTTCTTGCACGTTTATTTGCCAAAAGTTGTTCAACGGCTCGGCGCCAGCGAGTCATTCGCAATCGTATGCTGCGAATGCCGCATTATAGTAAAGCCAGCCTTTCGACATAAGCTACTATTCCATACGAACACAGATATGTACATGCAAGTATTTTTTTTTGACTTTCCTTTAGAATTCGAAACACAGGGCACTTTCTGAGTTAGGTTCACTGATCTTATTTTTTTACACATTTCGTTTCGCCACTTTTAAGTTTGAGTTAAGTCACATTAAATTTTATTTTCTTAAGTTTTAATTTTCATTTTTTTTTGATTTTTTACACATGCGTATTTTCCCCGGTAGTTTTCCGATTCGCTCGCCGTCCGGAATCACGAGCGAGTGGTTTTACTTTAAAACCAGTAGGGCAGTAAGCACAGACCTCAGCACCGCGGCTGCAGGTGTACATATGTATGTATAGCCGTCGGTATATATAGTAGGCTCTCTAACTCTCCACACAGGTTCTCGACAGCATGCTGGTACCATCATCAGCGTTGCCATTTTAGCCGTTTTCCGGCTAGATTTAGCCGGTT